CCCCAAAACCCCAAAACCCCAAAACCCCAAAACCCCAAAACCCCAAAACCCCAACTTATTTCCAATCAATTGATTTTTAAATATCGGTTAACTATGCTACTCATATTTTTATCTTTATTTATCTTATAATAGTCTGGTTATAAGTAAACACCTCCTCCCTTGGTTTATTAGAGAAGGAGGATTTATAGAATCAGTGTGGCCAAATATTTACTCAAATTTCTAAAACCATTTCATATCACGAGAAAACTGTATTTGGTAGCTGGTCAAGCAAAAATTTGACTTTAATGATCGCGGAAGATAGCTTAAGAATCCTTACTAATGTGTTAAATTTCCCATTATTTTAGTCACCTCTAAAAGGTAGACTTGGAACTTTGCGAATATCGAATGACATTAACAGTCTGGATTCATAGAATAATTAAAAAAGTTATGATAAGTTTCACAAAAATATGAATGAAAACTTGCAAGTAGTAAAACTAAAAGAAACTTTAATTAAATCAAAATGATTAGTAATAATTTACTTTAATTTGCTAAAGAACTTTTGTTAGAATTAAAATAGTTAATATTTTATAAGAAAAGCGAATTAAGAAGTCTTACAACTGTTTTTATTAAGTAAAAATTATATCGAATGAAATTTAGCAAACATTTTAAGCATTAAAAATTAACCTAAACCGGTAAAGTTCTTAAAGCAAACATATTTTCCTACGTCTAGAACCCGTCTGCTTTATATGATGTTTGATATTTTTAAAGTAGCCATTTTATCTTGCCATGTTTATGGTTTTTTTAGTTCTTAGATTAAACGAGTCAGAGTAAAAAAAATGTAAGGAAGTTATGCAGAATATTTGAGGCCAAAATCTAAAACATTGTATTGCTACAAAATACTCAATCCAATAAACGTTGAAATCAATTAAACAGTCTTTATTCAAAACATTTTATAGTGGTAAGGTACTCTTATCATAGAGTTTTTATGCTTAGTCACCATGTAATTTCCAGAGAAATCATAACTTGCCTTTCATCAAATTATTTAACTTCCAAATTTAAAGACATCGAGGCTTTAAAACATTGGCGAAGACAATCAGATCAAAGAGCTTAGAGTAAGGATCAAATCACGAGTCTTTATCTATTATCTTGAATGTTATTTTAAAACCCAAAAATTAGAAAGAGCCTTAATTTAGATCATAAAGAAGTAAGATTCATGAGTCTAAATAATTTCAAGGATTTTTATACATGAAACTTCGTTAATGAAGTATTACCTCGGTCAAGATTTTTACACAGATGTACTAAAAATTAGAACAATTTTCCAGAAGAAAGCAGAAAAGTTTCTACTTGGAAAGTGCAGTTTGAGAAGATATAAGAAACTAATTTTTTATAACTAATTAAGACTTGCTATGAAATTTAAACTTCCTTTTAACAGTTCTGATAGTACTTGGTTTTATCGTTAACTTTGTCTTCCTTCCTAAACTTTTTACTGCTTCTTTGTTTCTGTTTATTAGGTCTGTTCTGGTAGGCATTGGGGATATGCTCTTTATCCGATTCCTTCTTGAGTTTACAGCTTCATTTCTTCTAACAGCATTTTGCAAGCTCTTATTTTAAGTTTATTAATCCAGAAAAATTAGTGATTGTTTTCTTTGCTCTCTCAATATTGCTAAGATGATCTCTAGATTTTACCACAGTAAAATTCTTTTTAATATTTTTTAACTCATTAAGTTTAGGAGTGCTATCAAGAGGATGCCCGTCATCTTCTTCATCTTCGTTAATAACATCATCTTGGACTGTAAAGCTCTTCTTACTAGAAACAATAGAATAATGCGGATTCATAGATGGAATTAAGAAGCCTCTGTGTCTATCAAACTCAGTATCGTCTACTGTATCTTCATTTTCTTTCTCAGATTCAGTTGAGAAGCTACATTGGCTTTCTTCATGCTTTTTAGTACTTGACAGATTGTTCAACTTTATCAGCTATCCAAATTTGTTAGTTTTGTGGCAGAATTTGTGAAGACAAACTTTTCATTACATAATAATGTTCAAAGATGAAGGAGAGCACTTACGTTGTAAAATGCGCTGTTTCTATCACTTTTGTTTAAGAAACTGAACTTTTGTTGGCCATCTAGAGTAATAGGAACTAGATACTTTTATTTGAACACTGATTCTCTTGTAAATAGAGTGCATCTCTTCATTGAATCTCGGATATCTTTAATCCTTCTACTACTTCTCATTGTGTATTGAATTGTCAATAATTTATCTTTCGGAGTCATCTTCTTTTTCCAAGTTTTTGGCTGTTCTATAATACAAAAATTAAGTAAGATTCATAAAATTTCAAAGGAGAGCAAATATAGTGAATAACTAATTCTAATTTGAGTTTGCTGAGCTGTTATGATAAGATGCACAGTAAATTATTAAGATTTTTCGAATTTGATAAATATTTATCTCCCTCTCTGAGCCTAACTCAGAAAAAGGTCTGCAGAGATGAAAGAATTCATCATAATGAATGAAGAATATATTTCTTTAACTAAAGAGACTGCTAAACTTGCTCACTTCTGCAGATTATTCTTAAGTTCTATTAAAAAGTGAAATTAATATTTATCAAGATCTTAAAATCAGAATCATTTACTATGCAACTTTCTTACAGCAGTTATTAAACTCAAATTGGAATCAACTTTATATTAATCTATGAACTGCAGTCATATATACAAAAAGATAGCATAAGCACCTTTAAATTTTTCTCTCATGTTTGTAGGAGTCTTTATTTTTGTCAATCTTTCTATCGGGGTTTCTTCAGATTTTACTCTGGTCTCATTATAGAATAGCTCTTTGGTGCTTTGCTTAACTTCATTTAAAAAGTGAGTATCCCCAAGTAAGCTAACAATCATTTTGCTGGTATCAGTTCTGCTTGGTCTCTTTGCCGAGCTCCCTCTACAAATGAGTTGTTAGGACATTACCTTTTATTTCTTTTAAACTGGATATCAAGACCTTTCTTTTTGCCATCTGATTTTTCCTTAAGGAAGGTATTAAATGCATAGCATTTAAGAATGTTCTCGTTCTCCAATAACAATTTATTTATTCTTATTGCTATGAACAGATTCAATTATTTTCTTATTTAGCCTTCATGTTCTTAATAACATTCACAGTATTTTCTTGGGTAGGTGTTTGTTTTATAATTCCCAAAAATTTGTTCCATCCATTAGAGGAATTATCAAACAAATTGTTGTGTGAAAAACCAGGATTGTGTAAACCTCCAAACTTTTCAATATAGTTTCCAAACTGATCTCTGAATTCTTTGCCTTGAGCAGTTCTTAAGGTTCTATTCAGCTGGATTGGTGAAGATGCAAAGGGAACAAATTTCTCTCTATTTTTCTGTCTATATTTAGGTAAATTTGATCAATGAATCCGAGATTTTCTAATAATCGTAAAATCCCAATTTGATATTATATTTTAAACTAAAGTGGAGTAAAATTCTTCTGAAATTCCATAAAAATTCTTGCTTACTTTTCGTTAGGATTTGATCCGAAGTTGCTAAATATAGGACTGATCGCATTTCTTTTAAGAATAGGGCCTCTTCTATTATCTATAAAATGTTAGCTCTACTTTATCGCCAATAACAATAAACCCAGTTTATTGTACTGCCAATTGAAAATTACCGAAAGTAATTATACGGCTGAGAGTAAACTATCAAGAGTTTGCTGAAGAAGTTCTTAACTCCTGGGAAGCAGGCTTTTTATATTTTATTATCAAGTTGCATCTTGATTCCTTTTTTTAATTCCCTGACAATTTGTGAATTTCACAAGATAAGATGGTTTACAAACCTTGCCGAAATGGAAGATATTTATTGCCAAAAGACTCAGAGAGTTGATAGAAACTCTGAAGTTTTTGAATTTGGATAAAAGAGAGGGCAGCATTTGATGAAGAGGGAAATATTATTATAGAAATTTTAATTCTCCTCTTCAATAAATTTTTATCGCTAATTTGAAAAATCAACATTGTATCAGCAGATTAAATAATATTAAAAATTCTTCAAATTATTGGTTAAAGAGAGAATAAGTGAAGAGTCAATGAGCATTAACCTTAAATAGCATCTCTTCTTAAATAGCATCTCTTCTCAACTAACCTCAAAGTATTCTCTAAAATAGAAAGCAAATATCCAGATAGTTAAAAACAGAAAGAAAGCTCTTAATAATCATGTCAGTTTCTTATGTAAGATTAGATTTTCCTAAACTTAATATCCAGTCCAAGCAAACCCAACTCTAAAATTGGAGACTTTGTTGCTTTGTGATATGTTCATAAAATCCATCCGATTAGATTCTCTAATATATCACAATTTCCTTAATTTTGTAACGAAAAATTAAAATTTTGGCATCATTTGGTGATTTTAGCAAATAACAAAACTCACCGGTAGGTAATATAAGCTTCATGACAGTCAATTTTGCCAACTTTTGCTTTTTATTGCTCAAATTAACTTTTAAAACTTTATTGTTAGGCATTAATAACGTAAACAATACAAAGGAAAAAAATTATACCACAAATTTTGACTTCTCCGAAAACTGTTTTGACATAGCTACTTTAAGAACTAAAATACATAAACTGAAAAAGGAAGCAGCATTTTGTTAGCTAAGTTCATGAACAATTTTTGAATGCTCTTTAATGCTCCCTCTTAACGAAGTTAATGGCATTGATAAATTCATGAGTCTGCTATATTGAAAGAAAAGATTTTTGTTCAATAACAATTGATTAAATTTCATCAGCGAATAAGATAATCAGACGTTTAAAAACTTAAGATTTAGTAAGACCTTCACTTGGGTAGGCTAGGTTAATTTTCAAAGACATCAATACGATTTGATCTATGTTGACAAAGACTCTGAGTTTAAATAAATCTTCTCAACAGATATGAAACTTAAGTAACTGCTTGGCATACCTCTTAATCTTGGAAATTGGGGATTCATGTTATTGATAACTTTTTATTCTTAATAAATATTTCTATATTTAAAATATTTTAAGGGGTTTTGGGGTTTTGGGGTTTTGGGGTTTTGGGG